AAATTTGTTCCGTGAAACGCCACAGTTCCATCACAAGCAGCGACCATAATCTCGCGGGACGGTTCTCAAGCCGTGGAAGCATTATTCGCGGAACACGACAAGAAACCCGTAGCGGTCCCCAGTCATTTATTGCGCGCGGACCATCCTCGACGGATTTACGTGGAACGAACGGTATTCAGAGAGATAAGATTTCCTTATCCGGCGGACCTGTCCAGCTCTGTGTTACGGTAGGACGTCGACTGTGTCCAGATGCTGATTATCTCCGGGGATAGGATCGCCGAGGGGTGGTCTCAAGGTTTCTCGAGTAATCACGACATATTATTCAATGAACGTGCCAGCTTTGCTGCGTGTCAGCTTTTATTCGATCCAGTGATAGAGAGTCCTCTGGTATCGATCGCTATCGAAATTCCTGTTCGGTGGATCGTCGATTCTACTGTTTCGGTGATCCGCCGTTATAAGATCCCATGGAATATATATACATCATAATTTTGGGACACCCTGTATATATATACAGGGTATCCCAAAATTATGATTCCTGAGGTGATTTGAAGCAATTTTTTCCATTACAAGAATTTTCTCCGAGACGTCGTTAACGAATTATTAACGAAAAACAAAGACCAATGAGGGTCGAGCTCGTTTGGCGCTAGGCGGCCGAGCCAATGAGCTGAACCGGGCTTCGTGCGCTCGTTGGCTCAGCCGTCGCGCGTCAGCCGAGATCGCCTCTCATTGGTCAGTAGCAAAAAATCACATAGGCGTGGGACTAGCGCAAGGAAATTCACAGAAACCCGAAATTTGGCATTCTAGGGAGAATTTACTGTAGTTACTGTAGGGGAGATCTCGTCTATTGATAGATGATGTACCATTGCTTTCGGGCCCAATTAACTTTATATTTATCAATTAAGAAATATTAAATTTTTCTTATTGAAAAATAAATAAAATAAAGAAAGAGTTGTTTATAGTTTAATTGCACCAATTTATATCTATAATATTCATATAACAAAGGTGTCAGTAAACTGAAAGCCAATATTTGTCCGACTAAAACAAAGATAAAACTAAACAGTGTAAATAATGAATACGTGCCGTCAGTAACAGAAACCCGACCTTTCAATACGAGGAGAGTTCCATGTAAACATTTTAAGCTATTCGGAGTTTGTTGTTGCGTCGCGGCTTGTCGAAACGTATAACTCCGGCACCGTTTATTCCTCGATTTTTTGTTAATATCCACATAGACCAAAATATATCATTGTATCCAGGCAGAATGGGTGGCTGGGACGTTTGTCTTTCGGTCGTCGGGATGATTTCAACCCAGTAACCGACTTTCGCGTCGTCCGAGGCGTTCCCGTTCGCGGCGAAACTCCTTCGGGGCTCTTAAGACCGAAAAAGTTTCCGCCTGGAGGGAAAGAAGGGGAATAACAGCGGTCCTATCAGTCCGCGGCTCGCTGGAAACACCTTAAGCACGGCTCCTCTTTGAAAAGAAATATTATCGGAAGCGGAATAACGTTTATCGGGCCACGGTTCCGCTATTCTCGCGCGAGATCCGCCGAGAAATCGGACCGTGACAATTTCGCACGCGTCGGCCGGTCGCTTCCACATTTCCGGTGCGCCGTTTCCGCAAATGAACAATGCGGAAGACCGGCTGCAACCTGCAAAAGTGTATTGGTAAGCCCTAACTGGAACCCACTTCTTCGCTTCGTTCTGTTTCGTAGTTTTCTTCCATTAGCCTTTGTATATACTGTGGCCCACAAACGTGATCATACACCTTTTAAAACGCAATAACTTTTTTAACCCTAGAAAGATAACCATATGACAACGTACGTAAAAGATAACCATACGCTTCCTGTCTCTTATACACATCTAGATGTGTATAAGAGACAGGAGGCGCCTGCGAAATAAACAACTGACTGCACCGTGGATGACGCAAAGACTGGAAGCACCCACTTTGCCAAGGCATGTGCCTGTCTCTTATACACATCTAGATGTGTATAAGAGACAGGAGGCGCCTGCGAAATAAACAACTGACTGCACCGTGGATGACGCAAAGACTGGAAGCACCCACTTTGCCAAGGCATGTGCCTGTCTCTTATACACATCTAGATGTGTATAAGAGACAGGAGGCGCCTGCGAAATAAACAACTGACTGCACCGTGGATGACGCAAAGACTGGAAGCACCCACTTTGCCAAGGCATGTGCCTGTCTCTTATACACATCTAGATGTGTATAAGAGACAGGAGGCGCCTGCGAAATAAACAACTGACTGCACCGTGGATGACGCAAAGACTGGAAGCACCCACTTTGCCAAGGCATGTGCCTGTCTCTTATACACATCTAGATGTGTATAAGAGACAGGAGGCGCCTGCGAAATAAACAACTGACTGCACCGTGGATGACGCAAAGACTGGAAGCACCCACTTTGCCAAGGCATGTGCCTGTCTCTTATACACATCTAGATGTGTATAAGAGACAGGAGGCGCCTGCGAAATAAACAACTGACTGCACCGTGGATGACGCAAAGACTGGAAGCACCCACTTTGCCAAGGCATGTGCCTGTCTCTTATACACATCTAGATGTGTATAAGAGACAGGAGGCGCCTGCGAAATAAACAACTGACTGCACCGTGGATGACGCAAAGACTGGAAGCACCCACTTTGCCAAGGCATGTGCCTGTCTCTTATACACATCTAGATGTGTATAAGAGACAGGAGGCGCCTGCGAAATAAACAACTGACTGCACCGTGGATGACGCAAAGACTGGAAGCACCCACTTTGCCAAGGCATGTGCCTGTCTCTTATACACATCTAGATGTGTATAAGAGACAGGAGGCGCCTGCGAAATAAACAACTGACTGCACCGTGGATGACGCAAAGACTGGAAGCACCCACTTTGCCAAGGCATGTGCCTGTCTCTTATACACATCTAGATGTGTATAAGAGACAGGAGGCGCCTGCGAAATAAACAACTGACTGCACCGTGGATGACGCAAAGACTGGAAGCACCCACTTTGCCAAGGCATGTGCCTGTCTCTTATACACATCTAGATGTGTATAAGAGACAGGAGGCGCCTGCGAAATAAACAACTGACTGCACCGTGGATGACGCAAAGACTGGAAGCACCCACTTTGCCAAGGCATGTGCCTGTCTCTTATACACATCTAGATGTGTATAAGAGACAGGCACATGCCTTGGCAAAGTGGGTGCTTCCAGTCTTTGCGTCATCCACGGTGCAGTCAGTTGTTTATTTCGCAGGCGCCTCTGCGACGTAGGTTATCTTTCTCGGGTTAACACTGGACTAAGTGACTTGAATTTTTTTCTGGTGATAGCAGGGCTGATCTACTAGACGATGACTAAAATGCTCTTCTTTTAATTTTAGTATTGCTTAGAATGACAAAAGAAAATTTAAAAACTCTCGTTTCTTAACTTTTTTTTATCTGAGCCTATAACGGAAATTTAAAAAATGCCTCTCGTAGACCTCGGTAACTAATACGCATATTGAAAGTTTTATCGAAATCAGTTTACATTGTTGCGAGTCATAACAAATTAAAGACGAGAAAAATCGCCGATTTTAATTTTAAATCGGTTAACCGATTTCAATCAAATTCTACGAAAGGCCTTTTTTTAAATTTTTGTTTTATCATTCTAAGTAATACCGAAATTTAAAAAAAGGCATTTTAGTCATCGTCTAGTAGACTAGTCCTGCTATCACCTAAAAAAAATTCAAGTCGTTTGGTTGAGTTTTAAGAAAGTTATTACGTTATTATTTAAAAGATGTACGAACACTTTTGTGGGCCACTGTAAATTGGATCTATCTGACACGTAATATTAAAACGAGCAAATCAACCAAAACTACTGATCCAAGAAGAAACTATCGGGTCGTTCTGAAAGATGTTTCGTTTTTCAAAAGAATTTCGTTTCGTAAGGATGTTAGAAGAAGACTTGATTCAGTATTTTACCATTAAAGACAGGACTTCTACGAGCATAAGATTTCAAAGTTACTGGAAAAATATCATAAAGTTCTGTTTTTACCCTGAACATTAAAAAATCATGAAATAACGAAACAGCTTTCCGAACGATTCAGTAGAAATTCGCATTTTCGTATTATCGACATTGGAATTACTAGTTCAGTCAAAGGATGAAAAATAAGTTGAAATCTATTTTTTAATAAAAAAAAATGCTCTACTCATGTATGAGACTTATACAAATATTAAGGCAGAGGAAACTCGGTTTCTCTACCGAGAAGATCTTGTAGCAATGACTTTCAAGTAGTAAAAAGTGAATATCTCCGTCACGTAGCGAAAAGAATGGCAAGTCATTTTGTATAATACAATAAGCCTGCCAAACTTGAAAGCATAACTTGGCATTTTTAATCATCGACGTGTTTACCGATGGTTCAAATTTTATACCAATCGGGATATTGAAACTATACGGTGTCATTTATTATCAAGCAAAACATTAACATCTTCTTCCTGGTGCTGCCATTTCTTGAATTTTTAAGTTCTTCTTTTCGAAATAAGCTCATGCAGTGGCCATACTGACAAAGGAAGAAAAATATTTTCGGATTTTGATACATAAGCCACTATGGCAAAATGATTCGTTGCTGTTTTTGACTAAAAGAAGGATTACTTCAACAGTATAGTAAAATATTTTCACAACTTCTGAAAGACTGGTTCAATCAATTATTTAGAATGAATTTGCAATATCCAGGACAATACAATATCACCTAAACAATAGAAGCCTGTAAACAAACATTGCATACATCACATATTAAAATGCAGTCGGGTACTAACTACTCTCCAGCTGGAACACAGTTTAACAAAAAAAATGACAAAAATCGACGGAACAAAAGAATCGACATTATATTTCACCCGGTTGAAAAGGAAAAATCAAGAATGATTTGTACGGAGTATCAAGGAAACGTTTATTATCCAGCTCAAGAGAAATCTGAAAATTTAATCTTCTCCTGAGCCTCTCTAAATCCTTCAAAAGGGTGGCATGATACTCACGTAGTATCTGTGATTCAGTGACATCTCTCCTTTTCTATGGGTCCGGCCGCGGTGGCGTCCTTTTTCGATTGAAAACTCTGCGCAGGGTCTCCTGAGCGTCTTTCCTCTCTCAGACACGGTCGAACATTTTTTCCCAGGCTCCCTTACGAATCTGTCGTTTCTCGTGACCCATCACAATCTACTTTACATCCGTTCGATAGGGGCCGATGATTCCCGTCTCACAAAAAAAAGCCGTGAAAACGCTCGACGAAAATATATTTTGTACGATCCTCTTCATCGACGCTCTTCGCTACTCCTCTAGTTTCTCTCTCTTTGTTGCTCGTTTTGTTTCAGCAGACCTCCTTTTCCAGCACTTTTGCCGGTTTCCTTCTCTATCTCCGACGACTAATCGATTCCCGTCAGTCTTACGTGTTTATTGTCGTGCCTGCAGTTAATCTCTCCTAATTATTGTCGTTTCCTACTTCTTTCTTGCGTCGCGCATCTAGGTCGTTGCTGGCTCGCCTCCCCGTCGTCGCGGTTCCACTTTAGATTTTCTTCTCGGCCTCGGGTCTCCTCCTGCGAAAAACGGAGAGGATGCCCGTTGACAAAGGTTCGGACATGATCGGCTGACCGATCCTGTGGAATCGCGGACCGACCGGCCCACTCTCTGTTTCCCCCCATTGATCGCGATTCTACTTGGCTTGATTGGAATTTTAAACGAGTTTCTATGCCCGCCGGCCAGCGCCTGAGTAACTGAATACTTAATCCCCCGGGCTATGGAATAAAATTCATTTACCTAGGACTAACGTGAGAGTAAGCACGAATTAATTGCAGCGAGAGTTGAACGGTGTATAGAATTTTGTTTCGGCGGATCTGGTTCGCGAGCATTTCTGCGAGTTTAACGTTCTTTCTTTCACCGAGGAAGAGACGGTTTACTTTATCGTGGACAGTTTCAAACGCGCATAAAGCGTACATTGGTCAGTTGTAAATTCTAAACAAGAATGACATCCATATAGTCTTATCGAAATTGTTAGTTCGCGCGCAATAAAATGCGCATAAAGTTTGCGGTGCAGTCATGAATTCTGAACGAGGATGAAATCGATACAGTCTTATCGAAATTGCAGTTTGTACAGCGTGAATTATATTTGTATATTTTCTACGATATGGCTAACAAGCTGAGTTTATGATCAGTGAAATAAAAGATAATTTATTACTATTTAAGTATTGTATAGAGAGAGAGAGAGAGAGAACTGTTCCATTTGGAGGTAAGCCTTTTAGCATTGATTATTTATTTATGTAATGTAAGATGTTAAAAATGTACTCGTTGCATTTGATAGAAATGTTTCCCAGCATAAGAAATTTATTATAATAATAAATAAATTAAATTAATAATAAATCAATTTAATGAATAGACCGCATGCATGATGTTCCATCCATCTCGATAAATAAAAGTATTTCTACTGCGCATAATTTTACCGAAAAAGTTATCTTTTTATCAAACTTGTATTTTTGAGATTCAAAATTGCTATCGTTTCTTTTTATGTAGAATGTTGAAGCGAATATCAAAATAATTTCCCATGCTGTCTTTGCCTTCTGATTTTTCGTCGCTACCCTACTCTTCTCTATCACGATTTACGGCGCACCCTGTATACTTCGAAGTCAACACACAGCCTATGGATGTTGCAAACTATGCATATTCAGCGCAGATTCTGCACCTCCTCGCAAGAAAGAACGACCTCGTCCAAGGAGAAAAGATTCGATCAATAGCTATCAACCGGTTCGCACAAAGTTCAAGAAAACATAAGGATCAGTTTTTCTAACGGAGAAGTGCGTCTTGAGTGTCCTTCCGAAAGAAACTCCTGGCATTCAAATTCTCGAGCCGCGTCGTAACACTTTCGCGGCTCGCGTGCCTAGAATCCCGGTCCTTTCATATGCAAACTCGGCGTTCCTCTTAACGAGTATTGGTTCTGTATAAATATTCGCAAGACAATCGACGGTTTTTCTGTCGCGTTCCGGTGTTCAATCCTATAGGAGATTTTAGGAGAAACTTAATAACCCTGAACAAATTCATCGTCGATCTAACATACTTTTTTTATAATATATACGAAGATATATTAATCGATGATTTTTGGATGATAACAATTTTATTTAAAAGAGTTTAAAGAATCTTAATCTCTTCATTAAATAAAGAAATCTTTGTCAATATATTTCTAGTGTTATTTGTTGTTTTTGTATAATCGTGTTTAAAAATATTTTACTTCAGAGAGATGTAATTTATTTTCATTCTGCTATTTGATCGAATTTGCAAGCATTAGCAATAATTGTTCGAACAAAAGTTGCACAGTGACTATAGTAACAACAGATTTCAAGAATAAAATTGATAAGATGGGGTTAATTAGTGCAATCAAGGTTCTTCTGTTACAATTTGCAACGCTGAATAGGTGGATAAAATTCAACGCGGATGATCGCAATTCTAAACCTGAATATTTATGCGCACATAATTTTAGTCTAGCGCTAATGACATCATCAGCCCTTAACGCTGAACCTAACAAACTAGTCAAAATTACCAGTTCCTGATTTTTTCATTCACACATCCCAATATTATAAAAATGTCTCCACGAGTAATTTTTAGATAAACTCTTTTATTCAAGCATGTATTATATTTATAAAAAAGATCGTACAGAGTTTATATAAATCCAATCTTGTCATTATATAATATATAATATATATTATATATATAATATAAAACAATGTAACCATGATTTAAACTAAAACAATTTCAACTGATACTTTGTATTTCCAATTACTTAAATTATAGAAACCGTTCCATGAGAAGTTTATTTATAAAAATTATTTCATTCGAACGTATGTTATAATAGAAATCGTACGAAGTTTAAATAAATCCATCAATCCATCTCACACCCGGACACGAGGGGAAAGCGGAGAGTTCGACACTGTTCTCCATATTTGACGCGACTGCTTCGAGATATGTACGTGCCGGATCCGCTTTCGAGAGAACTTGTTCGCCGTCTGGCATCGGCGACCGTATTCATAATTTCAAAAATACCGGCGAATATGCATTCCGGGCCGCGGTCAGGTTCCCGGATGAGAAACGCCGCTTTTAAAAGCCCTCTTTTTCGCGTGGTAACGCCGCTAGGCTACTACAAACGGACAGTCGTGTACCGAGCGGAATGCAGATCAAGGTTTGCGCGGTAAGGCGGCTGCAAAATGGCGGACAGAGGTGGAGATCCTGCTACGGCGAAGAACAGGGAAGCAGTTTCACGTTTGCGAGACACACGGGAGAGCTGACAGACTTTTTGCTCCGGCCTGGAATTCAGCAATTTGCTCTGATTTCAACGCAGGGGCGATAAATTCTGCGCCTACCAAAAACGGAAGTACCGTTTCGATGGGACGAGCCGACGCGCGCGTTGTTATTTGCCTGGGTAAACGGGACTTCTAATTCCCATTGGGTTTGGAATTCGGTTTGATGTTTATTTCCGTTCGTTTGCTACGAATCGCGCGCGCACGCGCGTCGCACGCCTTTCGATCTTTCAAGCATCAGTATCGATGACTTTTTTCTATCATTTGAGCAATGAAATTTTAATCAGCTGTTGCGACCATCTTGAAAAAATGTGCACCCAAAACGTGTCGCAAAGGAGAAAGAACGAACAAGATTTCTTTGTTTTAAATAAATATAAATATTTATATTTTTCATCTGTTTTCCTTTGTTTCGCTCCGGTCTCCAAATATTCAAAACATCTTAACATTTACGAACAAATTTTAGTTTTCATCAAAGTTGCAATGAGAATAACAATCGTTTGACGTTGTTATCAGTTACAAACAGTTAAAGCTCGTGAAAATCGCATTTTTTTACGGATTCCGACCAAAAACGGATCATTTTCACGTCTTGCAGTGGTTGTAGCTTGATTATGCGTCCACTGTTTTCAATGATATTCTCAATATATGCATATACGTTTACGATATTTATAAAACGCACTTTTCAAATGTTTCGTTCTAGGTCCAGACAAAAAGATTGAGAAAGAAGAGTTTTCTATTCTTTTATTTTTATTTCAAGTAATAGAAAAATCAAACAGAAATATTTTAGTCGTTGTATAATAAACTAGTCCCTTTAACGTTTAAATGAGATCAAGAAATCATAAAAGTAAAAAAGTAAAAAAGTAAAAATGTTAGTGCGTTTCAAAAGGTGTTCAAATACATTTTGCCAAAGGTTGTAGATCGTGAATGAACGCGCGCGGGTCACTGCCTTTTTCGAGCAACGACAGCGAGAATATCAAGCATGAAAATTAAGTGTGTACGTATACGTACGTACACGTCCGTACGTACGAATGACAATTAGAGCGTCGAGAGCAAAGGATTAGCATGTCCCAGTCCCTAACATCTTTATCATCTCACAATTTCCTAGATAACAAGTCGCTCCGATAGAGAAAGAAAAAGACTCGCGAACGCGGAGACATTTGTTATCGCTTCGTTAGAGGTACGAATCCCGGGTTTTATCTGCTCTGAAAGACACGCTCGCGACTCGCGACTCGCCCGAACCGGAAACCGCGTCCCTGAACCGCGACTCCGCCGCACGCGCTTATCACCCCGCGAAGAGTAACAGCCGTCCGCCGACAGGCCGAGCGCGAATAAATAGCTTGCACGCGAAACGTCACTTTTATGGCCCGGAGCTTTTAGTCCCGCCTGTAAAAACGTCGCGGTCCATTAGCACCGGCGGCGATACGAGCGTCACGCCGCGCAAAAATTCCCGCAGACTGCTTAACAACGTTTTTCTTCGGGTGGACGTTTCGACGAGGCACGACAACGCGACGCTTGTGCCATGCCCGGCCGCTGGATCGGCTGAAAAAGGGACCTTCGTAGAGATGCTCGCCGCCGGAATGCGATAAGGGAGTAGGACGGTTTAGGGTGGTTCCTCCGAGAGGGACCAAGCTCCCAAAAGGTATTGTGTTTCGGGGCGCGGCGATAAAATTAATCCGAGAGCCGCGGTGACGGCATAATCAAGGGCTGCGCCTCGGGAGCATCGGAACGGCTTCCGGAGATGGTGAAAACTGATCCATGGTGGTGTAACAACGCCGATGTATTTAACTTTCCGTCATTTCATAATTAACTTAATGCTTTATTTACCAGAGGCCTATTTAATAGGCTTTTCAGTGATTTTACTGTGTCCGAGAGGTGCTCGATAATTTTGTTTCAACACTATTTCTACCGATATTTTGTATTATACAATTTACCGAATTCATTTTGCGATGACTACGGCGAAAGTCGAGAAGCGATTATATAGGGAACGTGTGGAACATAGGAAATAATTTTCATTTGAAATTATTAAAAGATGTTATTATTAAAAAGTATCTTTCGACTACCTTCGTAGAAATATTGTTAGATAATAATTAAAAAGAACCTATTACATTGTATGTGTTAATCTAAATAATTTGATGGATTATTGTTGTTGTTTAGATTATTGCAGATTGTATACAATTTTTTTTAAAATTCCTAACTGTTGATCTTCGATTTTAAAAGAACTTTTAGAAAATTGCCGATAGATGAAGCTGTTTGCTAGT